CCCCCTTGACCTGTCCGTCCTCCCTGGACTGACCTATCTCCTCCCTAACTCCCCACCTACACTCGCCTTTACTGGCTCCATCCCTGCCTCTTTGACCTGTCTGTTTCCTCTCCACCTATCTTCTCCTCTATCCATCTTCTATGCACCTCCCCCTCTCTCCCTATTTATTTCAGCACCCCTTTCCCCTCCCCCATTTCTGAAGAAGGGTCTAGGCCCGAAACGTCAGCTTTCCTGCTCCTCTGATGCTGCTTGGCCTGCTGTGTTCATCCAGCTCTACACCTTGTTATCTCTGTGAATAAATGTGTAGCTTTTAGTATTTCAAAGGGACCGCACTGCAAACCTGATGGGTCATTGTAAGTTGGTTTCTGATGTAATTCTTAGTGTAATCAGGGTTACTTGATAAACATCGCCCAATAGCAGAATCACACCTAACATTGTATGTGATGTTCTGAGGTTTTCAACCTTTTGCTGGTTTTGTCTCTGCTGCGCCCCCATGGCAACATCCTCACCAATCAGAGCTGACCTGCCTTAATTTCAGGGTTAATTTTCAAGCTAAATTACTTCTTTAATCTAGTAACTAAAAGCTGCTCTGTTTGGGTGTAGTTTTAGTCACATTTCTGAAACAGGAGTCAGCTGAGTCAATTCCAGGTGAAGCTGGTTAACTGAACAACTGTTTTGATCCAGTTTGGCATTGTTTTGGAAGCTGTATGAGGGGGTTAGTTCTTCTTGCTTCTTGGTTTAATGAAAGTGTTTTGGAGTCTGGTGAAGCTGAAAGACTGAGTGTGGTACTCAGTCTCACTCTGGGCAATCAGAAAGTGGTATGGTCCCAGTGGAAACAGCCAAGTGGTAAGTGATACCTGCAGAGCATTTTCTGACAGTTTTTAAAGCATAATGTATTAGCTTAAATAAACGTAGGAACTTGCGATTCCTGTAGCCGTGTTTGAAATGAAGGAAGGTCCTGAGCTAAGTTAAATTCCCTTAAAAGGGAGTAACTTAATCCAGAGAGAATTCATGACAGGAGACATCAGACCCTGTGGTGTGCCCCTCTTGCTCAGTGGGGCAAATGAGGAACATGTACATGTGTAGGAAGTGTGCCCAGCTACTGACTCACTGCTTTTCAGAGCTGGAGCTGTGGGTGGGCTCACTGTGGAGCATCTGTGATGTTGAGAATGTTATGGACAACATATTTAGTGAGGTGGTCACTGCTGCTGAGGCTTATAAAGGCAGAAAGGGAATGGGTGACCATCAGACATGTCAAAGGTCGAGGAAGGAAATTCAGGAATCCCCTGCGGTTGTCCCCCTCTAAGACAGATATACTACTTTAGAAGCTTTGGGGAAAGGGGGTGAAGGAGATGACCTCTTGGGGAAAAGCAGCACCAGCTAAGTTCCTGGCCCTACAGATGGTTCTGCTGTACAAAAAGGGAGGAAAATGAGTGGCAGAGCTACAGTGATGGGGGATTCAATAGTGAGGGGTACAGACAGGTGATTCTCTGGCTGCAGATGTGAATCCAGGATGGTATGTTGCCTCTCTGGTGCCAGGAGTCAGGGCATTCTGGAGCGGGAGGGTGAGCAGCTGGTGGTTTGGTGCACACACATACCAATGGCTTAGTTAAACACAAGGATGAGGAGCTGAAAACTAAATACAGTAAGTTAGGGGATAAGATGCAGGATCTCAAATGTAGTAATCTCAGGATTACTCCCAGTGCCATATGCCAGTGAGAGCAGGAATGAGACGATTGATCAGATGTATGCGTAGCTGAAGAAATGGTGTACCAGGGAGGGTAGCACTTCTGGGGAAGGTGGGATCTATACAAGCCTGTTGGGTTGTACCTGGGCAGAACAGGGGCAAATACCCTTGCAGATAACAAGGTGTAGAGCTGGAGGAACACAGCAGGCCAAGCAGCATCAGAGGAGCAGGAAAGCTGACGTTTCGGGCCTAGACCCTTCTTCAGAAATGGGGGAGGGGCATGGCGTTCTAAAATAAACAGGGAGAGAGGGGGAGGTGGATTTCAGAATCCCCTTCCCCTCTTCCATTTCTGAAGAAGTGTCCAGACCCAAAATGTCAGCCTTCCTGCTCCTCTGAAGCTGCTTGACCTGCTGTGTTCATCCAGCTCTACACCTTATTATCTCAGATTCTTCAGCAGCTGCAGTTCCTACTATCTCCAAATACCCTCTCAGGAACTTTTGCTGATTTGCTTGGCAAGGTTTTAAATTAGTCTGGCAGGGGGATGGGAACCAAAGTGTAGGCTTAGATGGGTCTGATTTAGATCAGGAAATCGGAGGAAGAACATTTAGTGATGTAGTCAGCAACTCAAAGGCAAAAGAAATGAGGATTGGAAAGCGTCCAGATAAGGAAATTGATGGGGTTGAGCTGTTTATACTTCAATGCAAGGAGTATTACAAACCAGGTAGATGAACACAGGACACAGATTGACACATTGCAGTACAATGTCACTGCTATAAAGGAGGCATAGCACATAGAACAGTACAGCACGATACAGCCTTTTGGCCCACGATGTTGTGCTGACCTATGATCCTACTAAGATTAATCCACATGTGCTTATCCAAGAGTCGCTTAAAAGTCTCTAAACTATCTGACTGCACTACCACAGCAGGCAGCGTATTCTACACACTCACCACTCTCTGTGTGAAGACCTACCTCTGACATCTCCCCTATACTTCCTGCAATCACCCTCAAATTATGCCCCCACGTAATAGAGACTTTTCCCAGGGTGGAAATGACTGACTATCCACTCTATCTATGCATCTCATCATCTTACACACCTCTATCAAGTCACCTGTCATCCTTCTTCGCTCCAATGAAAAAAGCCCTAGCTCTCTCAACCTTTATTCATAAGACTTGCCCTCCAGTCCAGGCAGCATCCTGGTAAATCTCCTCTGCACCTTCTGTAAAGATTCCACATCCTTTCTATAATGAGGCAACCAAAACTGAACACAATATTTTAAGTGTGGTCTAACCAGGGCTTTATAAAACTGCAACATAACCTTGCGGCTCTTAAACTCAATTCCCCTGCTACTGAAAGCCAATGCGCACCATACACCTTCTTTACAACCCTATCAACTTGGGTAGTGACTTTGAGGGATCTATGGACATGGACCTCATGATCGCTCTGCTCCTCCACACTGTCGAGAATCCTGCCATTAACCCCATATTTTGCATTCAAATTCGACCTTCCAAAATGAATCACTTCACACTTTTCTGGGTTGAATTCCATCTGCCACTTCCTTGCCCAGCTCTGCATCCT